CAAGGAGGACTAGAAAGGGCAGAGGGAGAAGGGACACCCAGCAGCCCTCCCTCTAACTCCCTGCCAAAGGAGCCTCTCATGTGAAGACAGGAGAAGCAAGGCTCAGGAAGAGACATGTGCAGAGCCATAACTGAGGGAAGAGGTTCTGAGGATCCCTCTGAAGACCTTCAGCCCATTCCCATGGCCTCTCCCAGAACAAACCCAGCCTGGGGCAGGAGCACACTTGACTAGATGCCACAGTGAAGCATTTTGGGCTTCTTCAGCTTCTGTACTTGAACTCCATCCACTCTGTCCCCAGTCCAGCACTAGGACTAAGAGGACATCAGGTCCCAGCATGGACACACTTCTCCCTGCTCTTTAGGTAACTGGATGGGATGACCATGTTGACAAACCTCTCCAAAGCCATGGCACAAGCAGCATGAGCCCAGGTGGGAATAAATCCCAGGTCTGGAGAAGTCTGTAAAGGTCACCCAGTTCAATGAGTTCCAGACCTTTTTACAAGTGGCAAAGCCTCATAGCAAAAGAAAATCCCCACTTGGAAGCCCATTAGGAGAGTGGCATTTTACCATGGGAATGTGCACACATTTCAAAACAGTGCTTCCTAATTACGGAAAAAGGAGACGCTACAAGTCAACCTTAAAACTGTCAAAGCAGTTTAGATTTATAAGCCACAAGTGGTAAAACAGTAAATGCATTTAGTAAGTTGCAAGCATGTAACATTTACTTATTGTAAAGGCTCTTCACTGACAGCCCAAAGGAAATGTTCACTGACAGAAAACATGAAAAGCAAAGTTTAAATCACTGAAGTCTTAGCATCCAATTTATTTCTGTATTTTCTTTGCTTGCTTAGATTTGGGGGAAAACTAGATTTTCATAGATAAGAGGTTTGAAGAGTTTTAGTGGAAATCTCTGTATAGTCTTTAATTAAGTTGAATCACTCTTTCACTCACTCAAGGAATATTTATTGAGTGCCTTACACATGATAGGTAGTCTGCTGAAGCTTGAACAAGTAGGAGGAAATACTTTTTCCATGTAAATCACAACTATAACAATTACAAGTATCTACATTCCTCATTGGGCTGGGGATATAGCTCAGCAACACGGCACTCGCCTTTCAAGTGTGAGGTTGTGAGTTCGATCCCCAGTAATAAATAAATAAATGTTTCTCCATTGTCACAATATTATAACAGGCCATGTATAACTCCCCAACATGAAGATCCATCTCCCATACAGACAGGCGTGAGCCATGCCTGGGAAGGACATCTATGTCTCATTATGTACATGACTGACTGGTTTTGGAGAAATAAAACCACTAATGATACATGAAGGTCCAATATATGTAGAGAGATCCAAAGAGCCTGGATCATGCCTTCCTCTTCCATTTAATACTTATCAAGTTATTACTATGAAATCACTGCTGGGATGGTTTCTGAAAATGCCATGGTGAGCTAAACATACTTACCTCCGTGATTAATTCCATGTTAGGGACCAAAGATCAAACTGACAGAGAAGAACACCAGGGAGTGTCAGTGTCACCAAGGAAAAGAGCGGGGTGACCTGGAGTAAGGGAGGTAGTAACTTGAGAGGGCATGGTCAGAGAATCCTGAGCTGAGACCTGATATATGAAAAGCAGCCCATCTTGGGCAGAGCCCAGGGCTATGAGCTTAGAGCAGCAAGTACAAGGCTCTGAGGCAGGAACCCAGCCAGAGTGCCGAAAGAAAGGAAAGGGGGTCAGGCTGGCTGGAACGGGACCACTGAAGGGGACAATGATATGAGGTGTGTGGAGGGAAAGGCCAGCGCCAGCTCCTCCAGGCCCTATAAACCAGGGTAAGCAGATGAGGTTTGCTTCTAAATGCAGTGAGAAGGAGGTGGGTGTTTAAAGCAGAAGAATGGTGTGATCTAACTTACATTTTTAAAGGTTTACTCAGGCTGCTGTGGAATGAATGGATTATGACATGGGCGAGAGGTGAGCAGGCAGGTTACTGGAGTCACCCAGCCCAGCAGTATTAGTACAGACAGCTTAGTGCAGCTTAGTACAGGACAGTGACACGAGGGACGGATGAACCTAGGAGATGTAGAGGTAGCGTGGGGTCTTTCTGGTGCTCAGACTCCTGGATGAGTCAGCTTCCTCCTGCTGGGACAAAACACCTGATACCTGCAACTTAAAGGGAGAGAGGTTTACATTGGCTCATAGCTTCAGTCCCCGGTCAGTTGGCTCCATGGTGGCAGAGCACGGAAGAGGAAATCTACTCACCTCGTGACATTCAAGAAGCAGAAATCAAAATTGCCCCAGCAAAGGGGTCAGGGACCAGACATAGTCCCCATAGTGATGCCTGTGTGGCCCATCAGGACACACCCAGAAGAGGGCTTTTCACCAAGCAGCTCTCAAGCCAACCACACTGACACCACACCTCCCCTCTGGAACTTGGCCCTGTGTATTCTCTCTATTCTGTACCTTCTCCCAGATATTTAGCATGAATTTCAAATTTTACCCAAACTGGACTCTGGATCTGCCACCTGCAAACCAGCTCTTTCCCAGCTCTGTTCATCCAGGAGTCACCCTTAACTCCTCTTGTCCCTGGATCCACATCCAATCCTGAGTCAATGTTGCTGGCTCCATCTTGGAAATCCACCCAGAAATACCCCACTTTTCACCAGCTCTACTGCTGCCAACAAATCTAGATGACATCCTCACTTGCTTGGATTATCACAATAGCTTCCGGACTGGTGTCCGTGCTTCTGCCCTTACCCTCCAGTCACCACTGTGTCCCTGTTGAAGGAAGTTGGGTGGTGGCACATATGTTTCCTGGTCAAGCCTCCAGTGGCTTTGTATCTCAGAATGCAGCCCCTTCCTCCCGCTCTGACCCATCTCCCTACAAGCTCCAGAGGCTCTCTGGAAAATCACCCTCCTCACTCTCTGGCAGTGGGGGGAGCACCGGGGTTGCTCCTTCACGCCATTGTATCAGCTTGCGCTCTGTTCATCCAAAGGATGTAATATTTCAGCAGACCTGTTATATTAAAAGCAGCCAGTCATGGGCCTACCAGGGAGAGCACCAGAAGCTTAGAGCAGCAAGTATAAAGCTATGTATGAGGTAGGATTCTGGCCAGAGCGTGGGAAGAAAGGAAAGGAAGTCAGGCAAGCGGAGTCACAGCTCCAGATGAGAGCTGGAGTGACAACTTGGAACCAGTTTATGACCCACAGACATTGCAGCCTACTTTCTGTGCTTTAAACCTGAGAAACATGGCTGGGGCTTTAGCTCAGCGGCATAAGCGTCTGCCTTGCAAGCAGGCAGTCTTGAGTTCGATCCCTGGTCCCGATAAAAAAAAAAAAAAAAAAAAAAAAAGACAAAAAAAATCCCTGAGAAACATGGTTATTGCCCCCAGGACCTTCGTATGTGCTCCTTCCTGTATCTAATCCCAGGTACATTTGGGCCTCTGCTCAAATGTAACTAGCTCAGAGAGGACTTCCCTGACCACTGCGCATAGTGTAATCGCCACCACTTTACTGGCCCCTTATCTTGCTTTATTTGTTTTTGCAGAATTTATAGCCTCTTGACATTGTATACTTCCTAATTTGTCACCATTCCCTACTGTAAGCACCATGCATGCAGAGCCCGTCCCTCACTTACAGTGGGTACTCCACCACTGTGCCATCAATGAGCAAAGCTGATGCAAATTGAATGAAGGAGCAACTTCGGTGCTACCCCCACTGCCAGAGAGTGAGGAGAGAAATTTTCCAAAGAGCCTCTGGAGCTGGTAGGAAGACAGAGATTCCAGGGTCCTGACAGGCCAGCTAGGACGACTTCTGGAAGTTAGTGGAAAAGGTATGGAAATCGCTCTTTCTTAAATTTCCGGAGTCCAGGAGGAGAGACCAAGCAAGGATGTAGGACTACAGGCTCCAGTGAGCCTGCAGGGAAGAGGTACACTTGAGGCATCCAGAGGAACTGAGCCTGGAGACCCCAACGGTCCTGCCAGGGTTCAAAGCCACAGACAATGCCTAAGCCTGCTAGGAATACCTTGCCGCGGGTGCTGTGGCACCCAGGTCGGTGCCAGAACAGCCCTGCACCTCCACGAGGGGCCTCCACATCCTCCTCTTTAGTGTCTCACCGCCACAGTTACTGCAAGAGACCGCTGTGGTCCCCAAATCTATGAAGTGGAAACTGGGATTCCGGAAAGAAAGAGATGTGACTTTTCACAAAATCAAACAAAGCTGCTGCCCTCAGGAAAGACACTTCTCTGGGATCGCAGGGCTCAAGGCCTGGGCTCCCTAAGCCCCGGCAGAGGAAGTTTCATCCTCGCCTAGACCCGCAGCCTCTGGCACCAGGCAGCAGGAGAATGTGGTTGGAGTGAACGGGGGAGTCCGCCTCTCTCTGGGCCTGGACCCTGCGGGATCAGAATTTGGACAGAACAGTGTTCCACGAAGTTTTAGCTCCAGTTCTCAACTCCTGGACGCAAGACTGGTTTTCTCAGCGTCCAGGAGAGACGGGCTGGGCCCAGGACCTCTGAGCGACTTCAGGGCAGAGATTGGTTGAGTGTCACCACCTCCTCGTCCTTCTCGCCTGAGACTAGCTTTTTGCTGTCTTTCAGCTTCTTTGGAGCTCTCTCTCACCGCCTCTACCCTATTCGTTGTGTCTCCCTCCAAATATTTTCCGACTTTTTTTTTCCTATCCCTGTCCAGCTCCTGGTTTTTCTCACTAATTGGGGCCAGGCAGGAGGTCCCAGGTCAGCTCCAAGGTGTGCGCGCGCGCCGGGCACTCCCTGCGGACTCAGGAGTCCTTGCTGGCCAGCTTGGAAAGCGCGCGCACCAGCCAAGGGCAGCCGCGTCGGGCCGCTGGTGCCCGCCGGGTTCCCGCCTAGGGCGGGGCCGGGACAGGAGGGGGGAGCTCCTTGGCCCCCCGGCCACCCTGGGGACCCCAGGCCCCGCCCCTCGCGTTCCCATTGGCCTTGGCCTCCCCCGCCCCCCGCCGCCCGCTCCCGCTCCCGGGCTTTTAGGCTACTACGGACAAATCGCCCCGGGCGCCTGGCGAGGAGCTAGGAGTGCCGAAGCCGCTGGGCACCACTGCCCCGTCGTCACTTTCTCCGCCGCACGTCCGGCCGGACAGGACCAGGCGGGTGGGGGACAGTCGGCCGTGCATTCAAAACCCCGGCACTTTGCCACCGCACCGCTGGGGCTACGGAGCGGCAAATTCCTGCCGCTTGGGTTGGGCCAGACAAGGACAGCACCCTCCTCCGCTGGGACATGGAGTTACTGTCGCCGCCGCTCCGAGACGTAGACTTGACCGGCCCGGACGGCTCTCTCTGTTCCTTTGCGACAGCTGATGACTTCTATGACGACCCGTGTTTCGACTCCCCGGACCTGCGCTTTTTCGAGGACCTGGACCCGCGCCTGGTGCACGTGGGCGCGCTCCTGAAGCCCGAGGAGCACTCGCACTTCCCCGCAGCCGTGCACCCAGCCTCGGGCGCGCGCGAGGACGAACATGTGCGCGCACCCAGCGGGCACCACCAGGCGGGCCGCTGTCTTCTGTGGGCCTGCAAGGCGTGCAAGCGCAAGACCACTAACGCGGATCGCCGCAAGGCGGCCACCATGCGCGAGCGCCGCCGCCTGAGCAAGGTGAACGAGGCTTTCGAGACGCTGAAGCGCTGCACGTCCAGCAACCCGAACCAGCGGCTGCCCAAGGTGGAGATCCTGCGCAACGCCATCCGCTACATCGAGGGCCTGCAGGCTTTGCTGCGCGACCAGGACGCCGCGCCCCCTGGCGCCGCCGCCTTCTACGCGCCGGGTCCGTTGCCCCCAGGCCGCGGAGGCGAGCATTACAGCGGCGACTCGGAGGCGTCCAGCCCGCGCTCCAACTGCTCCGACGGCATGGTAAGGCTGCGACGGGGGAGGAGGGACGAGGAAGGCAGCCCTCTGGACGTCTGTGACGCGTTCCCTAGCGCAGAGAACTAGCCCTTGCGGTGGGGAGGGGGCCCTTCCGGGTGTGCGTTCCCGTGCACTGGGCACGGTCACTGAGCCCAGGCGCTTTGGACAAACACGATCTGTCCCACTGGGACGTGAATATACAACACTGCCGACTTGAGGGCATTATTTTTCTCCAACTTATCCTTATTTCCAAAATGCAGATCTGGGCCACTAAATGACCGCTCTCGCTTTGGTCTTGCATGCCGCAGACCCCAAATCTTGCTGTCTCCTGTCTCTCATCACAGACATATATGGTCCCAGAATATGTTGCTGGGACCACTGGGGGAGGAGCTGCAGGGAGTGGTGCTCCGGCCGCCAGTGGTCCCACCGTCCTGACCCCTGGCGGGAATGTTCGTACCCTTTGCAGATGGACTACAGCGGCCCCCCGAGTGGCGCCCGGCGGCGGAACTGCTACGACGGTGCCTATTACAGCGAGACGCCCAGTGGTGCGTACTCCCGGCTTCGCCCTAAGCGCGCCTCTTTCGCGTGACCGCCTTGTAGCAGTCCTGGCTTTCCTACCTCTGTCCCATCCCCTCCACATGCATGGGGCTTGCGGGGCACCGAATGAAACTCTCTCCCTCTCCTTTCTCCCCTCGCTCTCACTGGCTAGATCGTCTCGGAGGCTGGTTAGGTCCTCAGTTTCCCCTCTGCCGCCAACCATGGGGTACAGGGGTGGGATCTTGCGGCAGCAGCTCAACCCCTGCTGACGAACTCACCACTCCCCCGCGCAGAACCCAGGCCCGGGAAGGGGACCGCGGTGTCGAGCCTCGACTGCCTGTCCAGCATCGTCGAGCGGATCTCCACGGAGAGCCCAGCTGCGCCTGAGCTCCTGCAACCCGACGCCCCGCCAGAGTCGCCTCTGAGCCAGCAAGAAGCGTCCGCTCCCAATGAAGGCGAGCTGCGCACCCCCACCCCTTCCCCGGACGCCACCTTGCAGTGTCCTGCGGGCGCGAATCCCAACCCAATCTACCAGGTGCTTTGAGGGGCGTGATGCCCTCACGAGGGATGGTGCCCTAGGGTCCCTCGAGCCCAAAAGGTTGAGCTTAAATGCCACTCCTCCCAATCGCGCTTTAAAAGCGACCCCTCCTGGGGCGGGAGAGGCGGGTCATCTGCAAAGCGTTCCGACCCCCATCCCGCCCGGGACCCAGCGCAAGGACGCTGCCCATTTTTCCACGTGGCACCTTTTCCTGACACTCACGCAATGGCTGTCTGGGATTTCTCGGCGAGGCACGGCTGCCCTGCCGGGGTCAGGCCCTTCCTTTATCCTTGATGCCTTCAGCAAGGGGGCTGAGACCCTCGCAAACCTACGCCCCCTACCCCCACTACCCCCAACGAGCCCCGGTTAGTTTTTAGGGGCTTGGCCCCTAACCTTCCGGAGCCCTCGCGACATCCATTTCCCCCCACCGCCTGAGAGGCGCGCTCCAGTCCCCAGTGGGACAGCTGTAACTGTACCCCTCCCACCCTGTCCCGTCCCGCGGTTCAGGACCACTTTTTGTAATACTTTTTGTAATCTATTCCTGTAAATAAGAGTTGCTTTGCCAGAGCAGGAGCCCCTAGGGCTATATTTATCTCTAAGGCATGGTGTGTGGTGCAACAGGGACTTTGTATGTTTTTATGGCAGGTGCGCGAGCCGCGGGCGTTCGCTCGCTCAGGTGTTGGAAATAAAGACGCTAATTTATACCGCGGTGGCTCCGCTCTCGGGGTGGGGGCAAGTGCTGGAGGAAAAACCGGGAGCTGGGTCAGCTGCCCCGCAGCGACTCCTGTCGGCAGCAGGCAGATTGCAGGGAGACCCTTGCTGCCAGGTGTGGAAGTTCTTCAACGGTGACTTTCATCTCCACGCACAAGTCCGTGATTCTCATGGAAGGATGAACATTAGATCTGCATAGTTTTTAAAAGTCCATTCCCGGCCTATCTTCCCGAACACTCAAATTTAATGTCCCTGCCCAGATATCTAGGCCACAGATTGGTATTTTTCAAAAGCTTTCCCTGGTAATCCTAAAGCGTATGCAAGACAATCATGCGCCTCTACGCACACAGAGTGGCCATAGGTGTGTCCAGAAGATCACCAGGAGGCCATGGCTCGGCGTCACTGATGGAATAGGTGCTCACGGCATTAAGAGGAAAACCTAAAGGGAGGAGCTTCACACACCTTGGTACCCACAGGCTTTTAATGGTAGGCAAGGCAAAGGGACATAATGCCAGATAGGCTGTTCCGTTCCGTCCATAACGCACATGTTCTGGGCCGTCTCATAAGAAGACAGGGTTCCAGAGCCTGTGAGGCAAGGCTGGCATATGTGCCGGGTGGCATGCATGCTTTCCACAGTCCATGTACTCCAAGAGCAGAGCAGGGGCCTCTGGTTTAGCTGGGGTGCTGAGAGCTTCCTAAAGGGGAGGCCACTGACGCTTGTCTTGAGAAACAAGAGTAGAAAATACAGTCACAGTGCCCATGGAAGGGCATCACCAACACCCAGCCACTTCTGCGCCCCCCCATCTCCAGGCCAAGGGTGGATGACCTTGCAAAAGTTCCTCCCCACTCACATACTGAGGACCTCAGCATTACCTGTCTTCATCTGCAGACCCTTTCCCTGAAGCCCCATAGGTCCATGTTCGAATGGTGGGCAGTCCCCTGGGGTTCATTCTGTGCTGTGAGGAAACAGGGACTGCTGAACCCAGTTCCTTCCCTTATGTACCATCCAGCTTTTTTGGGGTGGATCATATCATGATCACATATGATGAGTGCAGCACTATGGTGGTTGTGGGGGGCATGGTAGGAGCAGATGAGAAGGTTACCTAAAACCAGTCTTCTGGAGGTACGGACAAGCTAATAGCAGCCAGTAAGAGTCTCAAGAGACTTGGCCAAGAAGAAGAGCCAAAGCAGGATGCTGCAGGCTGACGCAGTTGCAGGTGCAAAGAATCAACGTGAGAGAGAAAACTGTGCCTTCAGAGGAACAAAGATGTCCCAGGGGTGGGACCAGAGGTAAGGGGGGAAAGACAGAGGCAGGGCCACAGTGAATCTTGTTTGGGATTTATCCTGACAGCAGCAGGGAGCAGACAGAAACCATTGCAGAACAGAATGGACAGGAGGGAACAAGGCTTGAGAGAGAGAAGTGCTGTAAGGGAAAGAAGGGGGACAATGAGCTGTAGAGATAAGAAGGTGGTCAAACTAAGAACAGAAGAGGCAGTTTCCGCACCGACGAAAACAACTGTACACAGGAAGGGCCCCCAGCATAGAGGGAGTCAGCATGCAATTAGAAAAGTGTGCCTCTGACTACTGGGCAGGCGGTCCTGCTCCAAGGTTCATGGCTCTGCAACCAGAAAGCAGGAAGGACCCCAGTCGGCACCCACTCTTTCAGCCAGTTACACTTGTACAGTGAACAACCTACATAACCGTTTACATAACCGTTCACAGAAGCCTGAATAGAGAAGCCCTGGGGAAGCGAGGAGAGAGCCGTGAAGCCCTTGGGCTCTGCTGTGCTTCTGGGGGGCACCTAATGGCTAATCCCAGTTGCCAGCTCCAAGGGTTTGAGAGTCACTTAGGAAATGTGTAAAGCATGCTTCTGGGTGTGCCTGGGAGTGTGATGAAGACATAATTTGAGTCACTTAGGAAATGTGTAGAGCATGCTTCTGGGTATGCCTGGGAGTGTGATGAAGACATAATTTTAGGGACTGAATCTGGACCCTAGTCCTTTCCTCTCTGGCTCTGTCGCCCTGCCCCCTGCTCCCCATATGCTAGTGTTGAGCAGCTTTGCTCTGTGTGCCCTTTCTGCCATCTGTTATACCCGGAAACCGTGAGCTGACATAAACTCTTCCTCCTTGAAGTTGTGTATGTTGGGTTTTGTCCCAGCAGTGGAACGCTGACTAATACAGTGCCACTGTAGAGATGGGGGCCTCAGGAGAAGAAGGAGTGATGGGAACACATTTAGCAAGGACGCTTTAGATTGCAAGTGACAGAAACCTCATCCGAAGTAGCTTCCACCTTCCCAGGGTGCATTGGAGACACACAGAAGCAGAGTTCTTTACAGTGGGCTCGGGAGCGGGGACTGGAGCCCCTTATGTTCTCCGATGCAGTCCCCTTCTTTTCTCATCTCAGTTTTACCTTCTCCTTATCCATATTCGGTTCTCCAGCAACTTGAGGGTTATTCAGATCTCGACCTTAAACTCTAACTAGAGATAACATCTACTTGTACCAGCTTCTGTCATGAGGAAGGATTTGAACCCAGGCCACAGGTTTCTAGAAATTGTGTTTGTGGCTGTTGTACTGTGACCTCCAAAGAGGAAGTCAGATGAGATCAGGCACATTCAGGTTGGTATGGCCATAGACCAAAGAGGAAGTCAGAAGAGAGAAAGTGAGGAAAGTTGTGGGGTGAGCATCTGGAGATTAGATCACACTGCAGAGAATAGGATTGAGATCCCCTTCTGGTCTCTCTCTTCGGTCCCCTCAGGGAGCATCTAGCTGAGGCCAATTCTGCAACACCCCTTTCCATGGGGCCAGTTTTATCGTGGCTGGATCTGGAAGCACCAGAGCCATGCCCTTAGTGTGCATGTTCACACAGTAGCATGTGTGTGCCTAGAATACACTTCACGCTGATCTAACATGAAGACAGCAGAGGTTAGGTCTCCCATCTTCCATGAGCCTCTTTCAAAGTCCTAAGGGTAGCCCTAGAATTATGTCCCTGTGGTCTGGTTTCTTTTTTAATTTACTAACTAAATTACTTTAAGAAATCCATTTAGGATTATTCCATTTTTTAAATTCCAATTTCCCCTTGAGTTTGGTGGCACTTACAGGCATATCAAGATCCTGTCTACGGTAAAACATTTTATTTGGGCTGAGTGGAACATATTTTAGATAAATGGAATATAAAACAGTGGCGATAGTTTTGAACGATAATATCACTGATTTTCACATTGAGAAAACAAGCATAACAAAAGGTAATTTATTAAAAGGGATAACTTTTGAATGAAATTGTAGAGAAGACTCTTGCATTGTTTGATGTTCTAATCCATAAGGAAGAGGACTTGTACAAATGTATTGGAAAAATATTTAATTTTTTGCTGATCTGATGTAAAATACTGGCATAAACCAAGACACCTAAAAATTTATAACATGCCATTATAACAAGACCTCATCAACATATTTTTACATGTAACTTGTCAATTTAAAAATATTTAAAACTTATCACCTCATGAGAAACTCACAAGGACTTGAATTCTCACAGCCTACAGAGGAAAGAACCTTGACTGAGGTTTCCCCCAATGTGACACCAATCCTAAAAGCATACATGACATTTCCAACTGAGTTATGAGCCTGAAAGAAGCTTCCCGAAATTATCAATGGTACAAAATAAGTTTGGATCCACCATGCTGAAGGAAAGACTGAATGATCTTGCTTATTCTCTGCATAGAAAATGATGTTATAAAACCACTGTCACATGAAGAAGCTAAGAATGTGCAGCCCGGGGCGGTGGGAAGGGGTAGGCAGGACTGCAAACGGAGCAAGAGGAGGGAGGCAGAGAGATGCACCGAGGAGGAGGTGCATGGAGACAGTGCTGACGAGATGATCATGATGAACAAGCTGGTTCTGGCTCATTTTTTCTCTCATCTGCAAAACATTTAAACCGCCTGCACACAAGTCACTGCTATTTTGAAAAATTAGATTTGATGTATAATATTTTATATACTGTACAGGATCATTTCCGTAAGGTTAACATTTCTTCAAATATGTAACAGTGGGTTTAAATCCACATATGACTTTCATAAGAGTGAGTCCAGAATGCATCAGTGACTATGTGATTCCTGGGATGGAGCCTGACTGTGCCTTTGAGCAGTTCTGGACCTTGGTTTGGACTTCAGCTTTCTCTCTTGGAAATAAATTGCTGATTTGAAAAAACACAGTGGACATGGCCATAATCCAGGTACTCTGGGAGCTGAGGCAAGAGGACTGCAAGTTCAAGCACAACCCAGAGAATTTAGCAACTTACAGAGATCTTGTCTCAACACAAGGGCGAGGGAGCCAGGCACGGTGGTTCACAATTGTAATCCCCACTAGGAGGCTGAGGCAGGAAGATGGCTTCGAGTTCAAAACCAGGCTGGGCTGCAAAGGGAGCTGAAGGCCAGCCTGAACTGCATAGCCAGACCCTGCCTTAAAAAAACAAAACAAAACAAAAAGTCTAGGAGGGGCTGGAAATACAGCTCACTCCAAAGGACCTGGGTTTAACCCCCAGTACCAAAAGAAATGCATATCCCAGCTCTAAAATTCTTTAGTCATTCACTCAAAGCATTTACCACATAAAGAAAAACAAGTAGCTCTGTTTGCTCTGAGACAATACAAACTGCGTTTTTTCTCAGCATAGGCAAGTTATTTATAACCACTTCACTTGCTGATTTTTATTTCATTTCCCCCAAATTTTTAACTAAGATGTAACATGTGACATAAAACTCACCCTTTTAAAGTATGTATTGTAGTTGTTTGTACCATATTCATGAGGCTGAACAACTGTCACCATTAGCTAATTCCAGAACATCCTCATCACCCAAAAGAAACTCATACCTATTAGCAGTCACTCCCTGCTACCGTTATGTCCTCCAGCCCTTAGCGCCTATCAATCTACTTTCTTTCTCCTGAATTTGCCTATTTTTGGCATTTTATATGTTAGAATCACACAGCCAGTGGGTTTTCTTTT